CAGGAATTCAGCTGCTGCACTAGGACTGCCAGTCCTGTCATGTCTAACTGACCTGCAGGGATGGCTGAGAGGTCAAGTGGCATCTCAGATTGTACTTTCATGCTTATATGTGGGCAACTGAATTGCACTTAAGTTGTCTTGGTTCTTTCTACAATCAATGGAACAAGATGAGTGTGTCTAGGCAGTGATCCAGCTGAACTTAAGAGAGGTGAATCACTGCAGGTTCTTGTCTATGACAGCTCTTCTCTTTCATCACTCAACATTTTTCATAGATACCTCCCACTGTCAAACATTGCTATAATTTTACCCATCTTTTTTACATCTTCATATAGTTCTACTTAAGAAGTACAAGCCACAAACTCAGCCAGTGACCATTAGTTTAGAGAAAAGCCACCCCAAATGAGGCTGTGAGTAAACACAGATTACTGACCAGGACATGGTTTCAGTGGGGTTCACACTGTGGTTCATCTTTACCTCAGATGAGACAAGCTGCTGTGTTTGGTTTTGAATTTGATGGTGCTGGTGTCTAAGGACAGACTGGTTCATCTCTAAAGTGTCCATCTCTGCTTCAACCAGCACTTATTGTTTCCTGAAAATTTCTGTTTGAGTTTGATTTCCTTTCCTGAAATGTCTGTGGTCCTTTCTTTTGGGTCAATATCTGACAATATTTTAAGTTTCTGTTTCAATAATGGTCATTATTTACTTCTGCAGTAGGGGATTATAACCAACTTGATTTTTCTTGAAATTATTCATGGCTTGCTCCTCTATTTGTGTGATTTTCTAGGTCCCCTGCTACACCTGATATTTTTTAGCCAGCCTGCCAACTGTTTGAGAAGACCCCTCTGACCTGGATTTATGCAGGAGTTCTCAAAAATTTAATCTACCATTTCTTGATTTTTCAAGTAACTGGGGTACAATTCAGACACATGCATGATTCATGATAATAAGTGTGAAAGATGGACTAAAAATGCACTTGGCAGATAGCATGATAAATGTTATTGATCCATTTAAATTATGTCTTCTAAGGAAGCAAAGCTTTAAAAACTATCAAAAATGTTACCAGTGCTGTATAAGGGAGGGCAGTAGTAGCCAATGAACAAAGTAAACATGGACATCAGGGCATCTAAATTTAATTTCAGCAGTTACCTGAGTAAAATTATTCCTGTGAAAGGTCAGCACATATGAAAAAGTTGTATTAAATCACAAAAAATAAATTTGACTGAGTGAAGATTTTCTGTCTTAAGTGAGATAGTTTGTTGCTGTCTCAGTTCTGGAAGTGCTTATGGCAGAAAACAGCTTTTATTATGTGGATGAATAAAGCTTAGAAGAATAGAGTACTAATTCATGGCTGGTATTAATGAGGTGGGAATGTATAAGACATAATGGTATGAAACTTGTTCCTCCTCACACAAAAAACCCCAGAAAAATGTCATTGCCATACTGCTATAAAAACCTCTGCTTCAAATACAACTGAACATTCCTAATTGGCATTTCACAAATCTTTCTCTCATTATAACTTAGGGATATCATTTCCTAGCTCCTCCTTTCTGCAGAGGTGGAAACAGCTTGAGGATACACATCCCTCTCTCCTAGCACGGACAGAAATTACAGGAACTCAAAGCAAGCACGGATGCAAGAGTGAATTCAAAATGGGAACAGGGATTAAACCCAGTTTCTGTAATTCCTCAACCCTACAAGCTGGATTTCTATATTTTAACATGCAACAAGAGAATAAGAAAAATGCCTCACTTCTTTCTCCAGCTCTTTGACTTTGTTATTCAGTTGCTTCACTTTGGCTTTTTCACTCTCAGTCTCGGCAGTTATTTCACGATTCCTTTTGGCCAATTCAACTATTTTAGTAGCTGCAACATCTCCAGCTAAACCAGATGCCCCTGAAAAGTACACATAAAAGCAAAGGACATATCTTACGGGCAAGATACAGAATAGATGATGCTTTTGTTCTTTCTTCAGTGCACAGAGTACTTTTATTGTCTAATCCATTTCTCTCAGAGCTGTGCCAGGCACTTAAATGAACAAGTGAGGGAAAAGAGGGCATCAGTGTTTCCAGCTGGACTGCTCAGTCCTTTGAGTCAGCATCACATTGTGGCTAGCAAAGCCACATGGCACGCTTCAGCAACAGCCACATGTCAGAGGGCCACAACAGTGGTTGCAGCAACGTTACTACAGAAAGGGCAGAGGTGTTTTCTGCTCCCTGCTGTGAAGGACAGCTACAAACAGGTTTTTGTGGCATATTATAGAAAAAGACAACACACTGTTTTGCACTGGTTGTTTACAACTGGAGGAGCTGCTTAAACAGAGGTGTAAACTTTTCTAGACATCTGTCCTAAAAGGTCAGGCATGCTGTTACAGTTGGGTCCTGGATAATGTTCAGGAAATATCATTGTGCCTATTTATATGTCCCTTGTGATTATACCTGGAGCCTTATGGTATTACTCTTTTAATTGTTCTTTTAAACAGATGCTTCATTCACCTCCTCATCAGAGAGGGTTTGATTAGTGTCACAGATAAAGTAATCCCCAGCACTGGCCTGTGTGTCACTTGGCTTTCGTTAACATCACACAGGTGGAGAAAACTTCTCGCACAAGTGCAAAATCAATATGATTGCACACAATGACCATGGAAACCTTTAGCTCAGCAGTGAAGATGAGCATGCAATGACAAATCATTGGTGGGATATATGAAGATTGAACGTGGCTGTTGTCATTCTTAACTCCTTCATCCTCCTTCAGTGCTCTGAAGTAATTTTTCTGCTGACATCCTTGAAGAATATATTAAAGAACCAGGGTGAAATGCAAGGATGACAGATCACTCAAGCGAATTCTGAGCCCCATAAAACCCCTAGAGACATTAAAGGTGCTATGTGGAATATAGGTGAGAGCAGAATATGACCCCATGGCACTATTTAAAAACATTGTAGAGAAAATAATAAATTAATTATTTTTAAAAGTGTTTCCACTGTTCTTACTCCTTTAGCTGATAAGTTTTTTCCCCTCTCTTCTAGAAGCTACTTTTTCCTTAGTTTTCATAATAAATCATGACTGCTAAGAATCAAAGTAAGTACTAAACTCACCCAAAGCCAGGCTGGTGCTTCCATGTGAAGGTTTTCAAATGCATTGCACACATTTAATTGAAGCTTTTAATTCCAAAGCAGTGCAGGTGAGTCTCTTGCCACAATATAGATAGGGAAGGCAGAGGCATGGAGCAAACTGCCACAACCTGGCATATGATACAGCCAAAGAAGCTGCAAAAGAACATCTGGCTCCTGGTCCTGACCCAGTAATAGCTTATAATCTCTCCTAAATAGAAGCTACAGGTAGGTTTTTAAGAATTAAAGTGTAATTTAAGTGTTATTTGGTTCTGTTTATTGCTGTTTTCCCCCTTTCTCTACTAGCCTGGTCATCACTGCTGTCCTGAACAACAGTGGCACCCAGTGGAAGAGGTGCAGCCTGCACAGTTCGATTTTTAAAGGACACTCAAATCACTTTAAAAGCTGGACTTTGCATTCAGCCAGCATCCTGCATGAGCCCTATTCAGGCGTTCAAACAAAAGGAGCTTGAATAAAGAAATGAACACTAGGTAGCAGTGAAAGCTAAAACATTGCTCCTTGACATTAACAGAAAGTTCTCAAAAATATTATTTCTATGACTGATCATTTTTTGTGCCAATAACAGCAAGTTAGCAGAAGATCTGTGAGGAACAGAGATGACTGTGTACCCTGAAAGAGCACTATACTTCTTTTAAGGGATATATAATTATCAATAACAATATTTTACACCTTAGGTGTGACCTGTCTGACTACCAGTGGTCCTTTCACTAGCTCTCTAAGATGGGGAGTAGTAGTACTCATATTTTGCAGCTCGTGAAACTGAAGGAGAGAGTAAAACACAGGTGTTTAAGCATACATGCCACTTCACATGTAAGTGTTCTCATGTCAAACCATTGTGAGGAACTTCCCTCTGTAAATAAAGCAATGAGACTCCTTACGTGGGAGAGACATTGATGTTTAGGAAATTCTGCAAATGCCAAACAGTGTCAGCTTAGACCCTCACAAATTTAGGCAGCAACTCTAAGTGTTGACTAAATCTATAACCCAAGTGTCTAAGTATTTTCAAAGTCCAGAGCCAAGCAGTTTCAGTGCTACTGAGAATTACTGCAAGCTCAACAGAGAACAAGTCTCTCTCAGTTCAGTTGAATTTTGTTTCTTCCTTGCAGAAGCTTATTAGAGGAGTGGAAAAGAGAAAATGGCTTCAAGTTGCACCAAGGGAAGTTTAGATTGGATATGGGTTGTTTTATACTGCCTGAGGCTGCACTTTGAGTGCTGGGTCCAGTTTTGGGCCCCTGACTCCAAGGAGGACATGGAGGTGCTGGAGCGTGTCCAGAGAAGGGCAACGGAGCTGGGGAAGGGTCTGGAGCACAAGTGTGCTGAGTTCCCTTGTGGCTGAGGGAACTGGGGGTGTTGAGCCTGGAGAAAAGGAGGCTGAGGGGAGACCTTCTGGTTCTGTGCAAGTCCCTTGGAGGAGGGTGGAGAGAGGTGGGGGTGGGTCTGTTCAACCAAGGAACAAGGGACAGGACAAGAGGAAATGGTCTCAAATTGTGCCAAGGGCAGTTGAGATGGGATGTGAGGAAGAATTTCTTTGCTGCAAGGGTTCTGAGGCATTGGAAGGGGTTGTCCAGGGCAGTGGTGGAGTCCCCATCCCTGGAGGGATTGAAGAGTCGTGTAGACACAGTGCTGAGGGACATGGGTTAGTCGGGGACTCGTCAGTGTGAGGTTCATGATTGGACTTGATGATCTTAAAGGTTTTTCCAATCAAGGCAATTCTGTGATTCTGTGAAAAGGAGGCAACCACAATATGACTGAAATGCTCCTTTTTCACATAAAGCAGGTAAAGAGATGTCACATGAACATTTCACTGCCAGGAGCTCACAATCAATCTGTTATCCTACCTCTATTGTCATCAGCATCAAGCAAACTCTGGAACTAACACAGTGAGAATACAAAGCGACTGTGTTTACCTGACAAAGCCAATCTGTTCTCCTGTATTTTTTTCTGGAGTTGCTTTATTTCAAAATCTTTCTCTGTCATGAGTTTGTACAGTCTGCAGTTCTCATCTTGGATCTCTCGAAGCTGATCCTGGAGCTGCTCGTTCTCAACCTCAAGCAATCTGTGAAAAAAAAAAAAGCCATAATGGCAAAGGTCACTGAAATGTGCTTCAAATAGATACTTCCAGAAATAAATTAATGAAGCGACTGTATGCTAGAGAAGCTGAGCTTACCAGGAGTGAGTTTACTGAATTAAGCAGAACAACCTGAACCTCAGATCACAACACAAAGTAATCATAGAATCATAGAATGGTTT